AAATATAAAATAAATACTAGGCTGGTTGGGGGGAGAGAAATTTATTATTTTGGGGGGGAAAACTTACAGTGTAACCATATATCATACTTCAAAATTTATTCCAGATTTTTAACCGGGCCTGTGCCCTGACCGGGAATCGCACCGTGACCTCCTGGTTCACAGGTCGACGCTCACCACTGAGCCACACCGGCCGGGCACTATTTCCCCGCTTCTCCATCCCCTTCCTTCCTGGGAGGGACCGCGGGGAGAGTGGACGGTTGCTGGTTCGAGAATCCATTAGGATTCGCTCCAGAAAACCCTCGCCTCTCCCCACGGCGTTGCTGCAGCCTCCGTTCGGCGTCCAGATCTGCGGAGGCCGCCAAGCCAAACAGTTGGTTTTGGCCGCCTGCACGCCCCCTTCCCTGCGATTTTGACATTCCTCCCCAGTGAGTGGGACGCAGAAATAGACACTGCGCTCCGTTGTGGGCTTTCTGTTTTTAGAACGGACGTGGCCAGCGGAGCCCCGGTTTCCCCCTGGGGTCACTGACACGCTGTCCTGGCCGGACCAACTCCCCCACCTCCACCCCCCCCCCCGCACCCCCTCCCCAGCCGGCTCTTCGGTGGGGCTGTCAGCATCATCGCCGGACGGGAGAGAGGTTCCTGTTCACTCCTCATCCCTCCTCTCAGAGCCAAGCCAGCCCTGGCCGGTGTGGCTCAGCGGATAGAGCGCTGGCCTGGGGACTGAAGGGTCCCGGGTTCAAGTTCAGTCAAGGGCACAGGGCTGGGTTGCAGGCTCGATCCCCAGTGTGGGGCGTGCAGGAGGCAGCCTATCCATGATTCTCTCTCATCGTTGATGTGTCTGTCCCTCTCCCTTCCTCTCTGAAATCATTTAAAAAATAAAAAAAAGATGGAGGGCGACCTGGACCTCCTACCCACCTGCCCGCCCATCCGCAGCCTCTGCGTCTCACCGTCAGTCTTCCCGGGTGAGCGGTGGGCGTCCTTCCGGGCTTTGCACCGTGGGCCGGGCCGGCGTCCCCTCCTCTCCCAAGGGGGCTCTCTCTCCACACCCGGAAAACGGACTTTCTTTCCAGAAATAAGGAAATCGCACCTGGAACTTGATGGTCTCTCCGG